AGCGCAGTAAAGTTCTCCTTCCCCTGCCTCGATCCTGGACTTTGAGTTCTTTTAACGTTCAATCCTAGCAATATCTGCTGAAGTATTTGTTCGGCTGACCTCGTCCAGTTGTTTTGTTTTGGCCTCTCTCGCTTTCTTTTCCCTAGTCAGTACTAGAAATGGGTCTGTAATCAGCTAGGGAGATTGTGATTAATTAAATAATTGCATATAAAGAGAATTTGAAGCCAATATAGCTAGGTAACTTGTTCGAATAGTTATACACCCAGTGTGGTCCTTTGAAACATCTATTTATACTCTGTTCGGATGTTCAAAGATACCTTTGTTAAATTAGAAAATGAAGCTCATGTTTTCCGTATTTATTTCCTTTACAGAAGCCTTCGGTCGCAGAGAATTATTATTCATATAAATTTGGTGACTGCTGTTTTGCTTGCTCAAGTCTTATTCCTTGTGGCAGCTTTTGGAGTGAAACCACAGACATCACAGGTAAATAACTGAGTGATTTTGATCAAGTTTAAATGTGATTTAATTAAACGACATACATACACAGTCAAATAATGTCCACAGGTCGATAACAAACGAACATAATGTACGTTATTTGGCTTGAAGTCTTTAACTCAAAATAAGCTGATGATAAATTGTTAACGTAAATGATTGGCAACATTAGTCGTGGAACACTCTATACATTTCTTCTCTGATCAGAAGCCACTAAAACGGGGGAAGGGTAGTAATCTTTATCAAGTGGAACAAAATTGTATTTTCTCAATATTACTATTGTCAGGTTTCATTCGTTTCTTTTGTACGCGATTGGATAACTCATTCAATGGATTATTCTCTTGTAGGTTGCTTGTTACGCAGTCGCAGTTGGGCTCTTTTTCTTTTTCCTATGTGTTTTTTCGTGGATGCTCGCTGAAGGAATCCATATTTACTTCATGGTGGTCAGAGTCTTTGAGTCAGGAAGAGGAAGGAATCTATATTACACGTGTATAGGATGGGGTAAGGTGGCATCGTTTTCTTAAACTTTATTTTCTTGACTATGTTTTAGATTTTTGCCGATTTGTGGTCAATTATGCTTAGCTAATGTAAAGATACTATTTTGCGGTCCCTGTAGTAGCTTAGTACAGTTTTAGAGCAGTTTTCAATCAAGTGTCAAAAATAATCAGACGATCACTTTGGTTTTTGTTTTACTAAGAATACGGTTTGAGATATGCTGAACAGTCTAATTCAGTAACTGGCTTGGTTTTGGTTTTACGACACTCAATCAAAAACCGCTCTAATCAGTGTGTGCTATTGTTGAGGTTAGTGCTGTTCAAAGGTTGGACATTCTGCAGATTTTTGCCCATTTACAACTCATTCTGGTGATTAACATAGTTTCATTTTTGCCAAGGTTTCCCATTCACCGTAACTGTAATCGTCGTTGCCATTTTTCAAAAGAGGCTTCTTTCAAAGGAAATGTAAGTTCAAACTGAAATTATTTTTCAACAGTTACGTAAGAAAACCGTCGGAGGTCCACTCCACTGCACTCCATGGTGAAAGCGTTACCTTCTGTTAACCTACTGTAAATTCTTTCTCAGTTGCTGGTTGTCAGTGGAGACAGGAGCTATTTGGAGCTTTGTTGGTCCAGCCATCTTTGTCATGACGGTATTGCACATCCTAATCAATTTTGTTAATATAATTACACAGTTCAAACAATCCAAGGTTGTTCCACTGTATGTGTCAATTTCATTCTCATGCATACCTTCTCCATTATATTCTTTAGATTAATTTGGGCATACTCACAATGGTAATGAGAGTAACCTCAAAAATGTTAAATGAAGAATCGCCATCTAATGCTAGGTAAATATTTAATAAACTATATAATAAAACTAAATAAATAAAACTCAGTACTATTTCCATTGTTTCCTTAACATAGTAATATATAGACTTAGATTTAAATAGATTTATTTTGGCCCTATGTGACCATGGTTGGTATATAGACCTAACCAAGCCTAAAAGCAGAGCACCTGATTTGGCTTGAACCTGCGATCCACCCAAAACCTGTACCTGGGCAGCGATCAACTCCAAAAAAAAAGCAAGTAACATCTATGAGCTCTAAACATGAGCCCGCGATAGGGTCACGTATTACTATTCAGTATCAATTAAACATAACGTGGATGCCCAAATTTTAAAGTAAAGACTTACGCTGTAAACCTGCCTATCTCTTGGGGAAAATCCCTAGGAACAAGGTTGTTTTAGAGTGACATTTCACATTGATTTACATGAAGGGGCGTACTTAGGGACAAACGGACGCACGTACGGACGTAAGTACGGACGAACAATCACATGAAAACCAAAATATTTTAGCTCGATGGGTTACCAAAGCAATGGGGCTCCGCTCATGCGCCTTCAGCGCGCTGGAGCTCTGCTATTAACAATGCCATTTAAATGAGTGGTCTTTTGTCTATTGCTTGTCTTCTTTAGTCTGAATTTTTGGTGTTGTTATTATCGTTGTTTTGTCCTTTTTTTTTTCTATTTTCCTTCTGTTGCAGTTTATGTAGCAATCATTTTATTCAGTTGCTTGTGTAAAATTTGACGTTTATGTTTGCGAATCGTGCGCCGTAAGTTAACCAGTTACCATGTTTACGGTGATCTACATGTGAACATAGAGCAGTTTGCAATATTGGATGCAATAACATAAAACCAATTGCTCGAGCCAGTTACATAGGACGCAGATGATCTAATTAACCAAACACAACTCGAACTGAATACATGTAGCAGACGCGAAGCTCGGGAAACGTGTTCTGATACGATGACAATGTGGCGAGAGCCAATAGTGTCACATTAGTAATGGAAAACTAGAGCAAATGCGAACCGCTCTACACACATTTGAGTTATTGTTGTTGCTCTGTAATTTAAAGGTCTTTGGCAAAAGCTTTTGTCACTCTTCTTCCAATTCTGGGTCTGACGTGGGTATTTGGACTTCTTGCTGTTAACAACAACTCTGTGGTATTTGAGTATCTTTTTGCCATATTCAATTCCTTACAGGTAAGTTGTCTTCTTACGTTACACAGGAGTTGAAGTACCCTTGTTTTTTCACGTGGTTTTATCCACATCATTTTCAACTAGACTAATTGGTTTACTTTGTTGTTGTTGTTTTCTGAGGCTTTATAGCTACGATTCAAGACAAAAGTAAAAAAAA